ATAACTTATTTATATAAAACAAACACTCATATTTCTTTTGTTCCATTTTTTTTTACAAAATATCATCCTTTCATGACTCTTTCTTTTTAATCTTCAATACACACACACACACACACTCTCTCTCTCTCTCTCTCTCTCTCTCTACATCTTTTCTTTTGCCACTCATTTTTAATCAAACCTCTTTATTTTTAATTTATTGATGTTTTCTTCCATATTTTAATTTTGTTTTTGTCCATTAAATTTAAAAAAGTTAAAAAGAATTATTTTTCTTTAACGCAATTTATTTAATACCACAACCACTCACTTTTATCTCATTTTTTGTTTCTTATCAAATTTGCATTTCTATTTTCAATTCTCTTGATTTTCTTCGAACTCCAAACTTCCTTTTTTAAATTGTAAATTTAAATTCCAAAATGTAAATTAAAATTTAAGTTCACAATGTCTAAATTCTCATAGACGTGAATTTTGTATAATTTCAAATATTGTGATATTTTTGGATTATATTTAAGATTTTTTTGGTAGATATAATTGAAATTGAGATGAAATTTATTTGTTTTAACTTATAATTTAAAAAATTTATTTTTAAAAATCCAAGTTATTCAAAAATAGTAAACTTTTCATCATATAAAGTATTAAATTATCCATTACATGTCTTATTTTGTGCACATATATATTTATATAAATTATTTTTTAAAAAATTCATTGAACCGAGGTTGAACCGGTCCGACCGGTTGAACCTCGACCCTTTCACTTCACCGGTTCAATTAACGGTCGCCGGTTTTTAAAACATTGGTTGACAATGCTATGCGGTTAAAGTTCAAATTGATAAATAAAGAAAGTGACCGCACCCTTTATTCTCCTACTTTATCTCTAGTCCCTTAATCTAACAAATCCACCTCTATTTTTTTTAAAAAAAAAATTCCAATAAAAGAAATGACGGAATTTAAAAAACGAGAAAGGAAAAAAAAATGTAAACCCAAAATCTTTACGTCCTAAAATTTCAACCTCGACCATTATATCCTCTAATTTATTATAAAGGACTTGGCAATTTTCACTCGCATTTTTGCGATTTTTACTGGTATTGTTGATCAATAGTATTCCAAATACTCTCCCAAGAAGTGTTTAGTGCTCATTGTCTAACTTTGCCAATGGTATACAATACTCCTAGCGCATCAAAAGCTGTCTGAACCTCAGTTTCAAACGTCTACAAGTACCTCGCTTGTGAGCACTTTGAAAACTTGAATTTTCACATTAAGCTCCTTAATCAAAATTCTTCAAAGATCATGGCGTAGTTTTACCTTTTCTATGTTTCGATCAACGTAGTGCTATTAATTTATAAATAAGGAAAAGCATGGCCATGAATATGTTAATCAAAAAACATTCAACATCATTTGCCCTCGTCTCTTTGCCAGCTTTTATCCAGCTCCTTTTACCACTTGTATGGTGGTTGGACAGAACTATATATGTTCACAACTAAAAGTAAACTTTGACGTTCCAAGCTTCACACATGCATCAGCATCATATGTTCTTGTTGATTCAGAGATGTATCTCCCGTATATGTTGGTTGACAGTTAATTACTCGCATTTGACTGCCAAATTCTAGGGAACTACTGTCTTGTCAACTGAGCTGCTAAACCTCATTTCATCGTGAAGTCCCTTCATAAATTGATTTACAGAGCCAGCTATCTCAACTATCCAGAAACGCATACCATTTAACCTAAGATATATTGACGCACGTACTATAGGAGAATTAAGCATCTAAAGCCTGATTTGTAGAGATTAAAGTTGGGTGGCAGTATGTAAAAAAAAGAAAAGAAAAGAAAAGAAAATTGGGTGGTATTCATAAAGAGATTTGTTATCTTAAATTTGACCAAAAAATAAAAAAGAAAACGTGTTCTGATTTTGAAAAATCAATCGGAATGTAGGGAATTTGAGATTGACAATTCCTAGCAATGGCAACGGCTATTTCTCTTGCTGTATATGATAATGGAACCATCAAATTTGATAGTTTTTCTCCCGCGTCACTTTCGCATGCTCTTTCTTCGTTGTTTTCTTTTCTGATAACATTTTTTAAGTTTGAAGGATAAGGACATCTCTTCCATTTCCAAATGACTTTCTTGGAAAGTCACCATTGCCCAAAATCAAGCACAAAACTTGAGATTTTAATTATCTAATACTCGTAGGAAACTCTTTGAATTGTTCAACCCTTTATTTTTATTTTTTTTTTATTTTTTACTTTTAGTTCACACCTTGTGGTTGAATAATTTATGTTCTGTCTGTTTCGTAATTGATTAGAGAGTTCACACTGTCTATTTCCCGCACATGATGTGTTCCAAGGTTGCTCTTCAATAAGTGGGTTTTTTTTTGTTTTTTTTTTTGAGAAAACTAATCTAATTATTATTCAAAATTACAAAGATAGTCCAACCTTTCGAAAGCTTCCCAAAATTAGATCCTCATCCTTTGTTCGTTTAATTGTGCATCTTGTGAGTGGATATTTATACTTAGTTTGCATGTTTAACAATCTTTTATTTTTGTTATCAATCTTATATTTTGTTCGTCTTATTGTACATAATATGATTCAGTACTTACATTCTATTCATATGTTTGTACACCATATGATTTTCATTCCTTGCAGTTGGTACTTAGAATTGAGAAGATGTCCTTTGGGGCTTACAACTTATTTATTGGGGTGGGATTTCTTTCCAAAAGAACACAATTTGACACTTTATAATTAGCTCATTTTGTTTATACATTACAATCCGCTAGTGGAGGTAATTGTCGCAATTACAATGTCCATTGAAGTCTTCTACTCCAAGTTGGATTATCTTTATAATTTCACATAAAATTTGAGGTCATCATTGCAAAAAGCCCATCAAAAAGTAATATTAAAACTATTTCCCTTTTTGAATTTCGTGATCCAATGTAACCACGCGATGACGTTTACTTGCTGACGACACATACAACATGTCAAATTTAAGTTAAAATTCATCCTATTTTAAATAATAAAAAAATGTACCTTCCTAAGATACTTCCGTAATTTGCTGATGCAAGGTCCTCATATCATTTGATTTGCTTTTGGAATTTCTGAAATAAAAGTTGATGTTTCTGTTTTAAAAAATGGGTAAAGCCAAACCATAGTCAAAAAAAGCAGCTCATTGAACATGTAATATGCGCACTTGTTCTCTTACTTCAAGAAAGGACAATTATGTGATTATGATGTTGTGCATCATCACTAATCAAAATCAAATCACTTTAGGCCAACTAAGTTCTTAGTTCCCGGATAAGCCTAAGTCATGAATCATGAATCATGAATGAATGGTATTTTCTCACTAAAATAATACTGAGAGGACTCAGCTGCAAACTAATACTAGTTTGTATGACCTTCTCAAATGTCAATTTAGATGATTTTATACTTTCCTTCCTATAGAGCTAGCCTGCTTTTTTAACACTTCCACAAAGGCAGAGAAAACACACACACACCACTCGTTCAAACGACGCAGAAGGCATCGAGAAAATCGGCCCATTTGGACAATCTAAGGGGGACCCACAGAGAAACCCCATCCAGCCAATTGATGACAGGAAAGGCTCCCCATGGACCTTAAACCCAGAGTAACTATCCCACGATCTTTCGATGTCGGATGGTGCACCCAACCCCTCCCGCGCACATCCTCGCCAGAAGTCTGGTTTTTTTCTTCCACAAAGACAGAGAAAACACACACACACCACTCGTTCAAACGACACAGAAGGCATCGAGAAAATCGGCCCATTTGGACAATCTAAAGGGGACTCACACAAAAATCCCATCCAGCCAATTGGTGACAGGAAGGGTTCTCCATAATTAATTAATTAATTAATTAATTTGCATAATTGTCTATAAATGTCACTTTCAAGTTGCCCTGATCATCAGGTGTGGTCTTAGCCCTCTGAAGTCAGAAAACTGGTGTATAAAGGGAATGGAAGCCAGGGAGAAACATCATGTACCTCTTGTGTGTGTATATAAACTATGTCTATCTTTACGCGTATTCAACATGCATGATTGTAATTAGTTTATGTGGATGCTATACATAATGCTACACGTGCATGAAAGATATAAGTGCATTAATTACTAGAATAACTACACAACTTATATAGTTGAAAATTATTCTCACGGAGGATATACAGATTGAGTAATAAAAGGGATTATGATCAAATCCCTTTTATTTCATGATCAGTACTGTTAATATAACGCATAAGCCAATTTACTGGTGAATTTTGAAAATTACCGGTAGTTCTTGTTAATTAGCGTTCAGATTCTTTTTCAAGATATGAACCCAAGTTCTCTAAAGATATCAAAAATCATCCTGGAATTCATAAGAAAATAGAATGTTGAATTGCCATGTTACACCTTGTACAGTAAGAGGCTGAAAATCCCACCACTATTTTGTGACTTCAAAGCTTGCTAGTTAGATCCTTACTCCAAGCACTCTACTGTCAGAGAGGTTGAAATTTTAAACCTTCACACTAGCTACCACTTCCTCCAAGAGCAACAAATAAACTAATTCCAAGTAAAAAGTGAAGAATATATGAAGACCTCCTTTTTCCAATGATTACTGGAGATAATGAAATATAAGTTATTTTGATACACATGCATTAACACAAATTAAAAGACTCGGAGAAAATGGATGTAAATACTCAAACTATCATTAAAAGAGGAATACAAACCTAACCACCATAACATATATTAGTAGAATTGCAAGTATAAAAAAGAGTTCGTGTTATCCAATCTAGCAACATCTTTAATTTAATCTACCAATATTTTAGAAAACCCTCAAAATTTTAAACTATATAAAACAAATCTTCGAGATCTATAAAGTCCACTTAGCCATGTTTCTGTCTATTATTATTAGTTGTTATTATTATCATTATATTGGTGGTTCTGGCACTTAGCCATTTTTCATTGCTTGACCTATTAGAACTTATGGGAAACCTCGTGCGACCTACTTGAATATTATCAATTACTCATGGGGTCTAACCCATGTGGACAAAAAACACGTTTTATCATCTGAATAATTTATAACATTTGAGCACGTTTCTAATTCCAAGTCTTTGTGGCTATCTACTGATATATATACTGATTACTGACATTTGCACAAGCTCACTTCACTTCCCTCATTAGCAGATCAATAGTTTCTGAGAGTGGCTGAGAAAGATACAAGGCAGTAGAGAAGCAAAATGGTGAGAGCCCCATCAGTTGACAAAAATGGAATGAAGAAAGGGGCATGGAGTGAAAGAAGAAGACAACAAGCTGAGAGCCTATGTTCTAAGATATGGCATTGGAACTGGCGGCACTGCCTAAATTTGCCGGTAAGCAGCTCAGGATATTTTGTTCCTCAAAATTAATATGTATTTCATCAGTCTAACAAAGACAACAGATAACAGCTAGCTACTGTTCTTGTTTGCAAATTTTCTGGTCTGATTCTGGATTATATGCTTCTCTTACGAAATTAAGGTGTCTTTCAGGTCTATCTAGGTGTGGCAAAAGTTGCAGACTGAGATGGATGAATTACCTGAAGCCTGGTGTTAGAAGAGGCAAGTATACCATCGAAGAGGAGGATCTAATAATCAATTACATGAACAATATGGGAACAGGTATGAAGTTAAAGTCGTTTTTTCTAGCAAGTCTTGCCATGATTTTAGGGCTAAAATTCGTCTCAACATCCAATGTATGGCTGCTGAGACTGAAATGATGTATAGGTAATCGAATCTAGTACTAACCCCACTGTATTTTCCCTATCACAGATGGTCAGCGATTGCAGCAAAATTACCAGCAAGAACGGATAATGATATAAAAAATCACTGGCACACTCACCTCAAAAAGCGCTACAAAGAAAGTCCAATTTGTGAAGGATCCCAGCATATAGATGATGCAGATCAAAATGAGCAATCTTCTGCAATGTTTACATCCGGTTCCAGTACTGATCAAAAGACAGAAGTGGATCCAACAACTTCTGCTTCTGATTCTCTTGATGCTTATACGGATATCTCTTTCTAAGCTGTGATTCCACACTTTTTGATGGTGTAGACTGGGCTGCAGATGATAGCAACAGTTCAGTGGAATCATTGACTGAACCCTTTTGAGAGTTTTTGGACTGAACCCTTTGCCTTGGATACATCGTTTAACAACTGGTTTCCATCTATGGAGGAGGAATTCATGCACCCTTTCTCCTCTTTTCTTGATGATAGCTTTGATTGGTTCCACGAATTCAATCAATAAAAGCGGGATAATTAGATATCTGAAGGATTACCAATGTGTAACTACTCCATAGATAGATCACAGTGGCCTTAAGATCAAGGACATTGAAGAAAAATAGCTTACTGTACATTACTATAAAGATTAGATACTTATCTTTGGCAAAAATTGCAAAAAAAGCCCCCTGAGATATAACTTATTTGTGATTTACCCTTTAAACTGTCATTCCTAGCAATTTACTGCCTTGGACTTCTGTTGTGCCACATTAATCAATTAATTGGGAGAAGCCATGGTGACAATTAAACTTGTACAAACATGTTAAAGGTTCCCGAGCACCATTCCCCTCTCTTATCACTTTTTTTTGAATTTACTTGCAGAAAATCACCAATTATTTCTACTTTGTGTTGACCAATCTGCGTATGAGTTTGTAGAATAATAACTCTTTTCCCCATATTTTGCACTTTAGTTATTGTTGTTCAATCAAGAAGGCTTAATTTAGTAGTTAAGATTAACCCTTCATGATTTAGAGATTTTGGATTCTAATCCCTTTTCCTCTCCTCATTTATTAAATCCCATCTCTTTCCTACCAGATACAATTAAATAAAAAAAAAGTCATTGTTGTTGACAACCAGACATAGCTGTTTCATAAATATGGCATGAATTCAAAATTTATTGACATGGATTTAGGTAGATAAATATATTAACTATCGTGAGTTTAGAGTTGGAATTAAAATCTGATAGTTACATAATTAAGGGTATATAGTTTAGGAGTATATGGTAATTTTAAGTAACTGGCAATGATAAAAGAGTTTGTCATTTATATACACGAGTGAAAAACAGTTCTTTGCAGTTTGCATGAAAGTTAAAACAGATTCTATTGCACAAGAAAAGTTATGTGTCAAATTTTCCTAATTAAGCTATTTCTCCCAAACTGCTACTTATGTTTATAATTAATCATCACTAGAAGAGCAAAATATATCTACTCAATTGAGCACTGGATTATATTATAAGTGACACAAAAGCGCAAAAAAGAAGAATTTGGCATTGTTAATATTTCCTTTCTCTTTCGGTGACTTATCTGAATACACAATATCATAATTATTGCACCCTTGCATCTAGACACTTTTTGTAATTAATTACACATTTTTAAAAGCTGGCACTTGAAACTCTCCTTATCTTAAATCTAACTAAAGGACCAACATACAGTGTTACACTTTACGAGCTGGGTGACAAGATTGATGTAAAAGATAAGAAATAGTGACTAAACCATGTAACTGAAATAGTTTAAAAGAAATAGCGACAATTAATCGTAAACTTAATCTACTTATCATATTCAATACGTGCATCCTATCATCATTTCTCTCCTCTATGAGTCTCCTATTTTTCTAAACACCTAATTTTAGCTTTAAACTCAAAAAGTTATTTTTTCTGTTTTAATTGTTTTTTCAAATCTTTCTTTTTTTTCTTGCAGGAGCTTTTAAATTCGGATTACGATCATGAAAATCTGAGTAGCTGAGAGCAACTTGAATCAACTGCAATCGATAACACGAAACAACACCACTAATAAAGATAGTAAGGATGCAAGGACTACATTTTCTGGCACACTCAGAATTACTACCAGACAAACTAATTTTCAAATAGATGCAAGGACTACATTGATTTTCTGGCAGTATTTTGGACCAAACTCATTAATATTAAAGGTGTGAAGAAAAACCAATAACACAAACACTTAAAGACATCTTTTTTGGAAAAAATAAAATACTCTGTTTTGCATAAGAAGAGACATAGTAAGTGGGATAAGAATGTTTGAACTAGCTTCCAGCAAAGCACATCCAAATACTTTAGAAGAAGGGAAAGAAAATATTTTGGACAGGGTTTAGTTGGATATATCTAAGCATCCAAGAAAAATGAGTTTTTGAGGTAATTAATCACGAAATAGGAACAACATCCAAAAAAAATTCCAATACTTGAAAAACCTATTACAATACACATCATTCCATCAAAAGAATAGCAATCCCTACTTATATTTGGTGCAATTAGTTGGCAAGAAGGAGAGCTTCTTGTTCACAAGATCATATCCAATAAGATGATTTATCTGCAACACGTTCCCAAAAATTGCAATACCATCAGTTGGAACTATAGCCAAACAAACTATCCCCTTAGACACTTCAAGAAATGTTCCATCTGGAGGTAATTTTATATCAGCATTAGCAAAGTGAGCAACAATTTTGGGAATCTTGAGACGTTTTTCAACCTTATAGCAAAGGCTAAACTGACCTCCTGGATCAGAAACCCGTGTACCCCTTGTTATTTTGATAACTTTAGCTTCCAATCTTTGGTAAAAGTCCTGAAGGACAAATGTTAGCGTTGTTCCAGAATCAATAATAATGTTACCCCCCAGAAAATCATTAGGGGAAGAATTATCTGGCTTGGACAGACCCTTATATGGAATCCTTGTATTTCCAACGCTGAAGCCTGTTAAATTGAGATAATAGAATGTATCTGTATACTGCTTGATCAATGGAGTCGAAACAACTCCAGGGCCTGATACAACAGCATTGCTACCGAAATTGATCTTACTTGAAAAGTTTGAATCTCTGGGAACCAAACAGTATGAAAATTTACCACCGATTGATCCATTCAATTGCTTGATAATCGACAATGCTCCACCACCTAGACCGACTATCCCAGACGAAGTTTCCTGGAAGATGCCACCACTTGCGTGCCCGCAACCAAAAGCAACATTTGGGATTGATACATTTCTGGTAGAGCAGGATTCAAACGTAAAAGTTTCTGTGGAAAGATCCCCATTACTAAAAGAACCGTCTCCATAAGAAACTCTATACCCACATTTATTTCTAAAATCACAAAATGTAGTTCCAGGATCAGAGCACAACTGGGAGTTGCAGGACAAATGTCGATAAGTTGTTGTTTTATTAGGATCGAAAAGAGGGGCGTCTTGCTTGTAGCATCGTTTGCAGGGCTTGCATTGTATCCATGTAAGATCGCTGCCTGTGTCAGCAATGGCTAGGAAATCAACCGGTGGGCTTCCGATGGTTGCTTTAATCAGATACTCCCCACCGGCGGATGTGATGTGGGATTGGATTGGAGCAGAAGAAGAATTTGACGAATGCTTGGAACGAGATTGGGAGACTCTTTTCTTGAAATACTCGGCTCGAGCGAAGGAACGGTGAAAAGATTTGTTAAGCATTTCAAAGAAGGAGTTGGAGGGATTATGCAAGGGGGATTTTGGAGAGTCCCGATGTATGAGATGAGTAGAAAAACCACCATCTTTTCCTTCAATGAGTGGATAAAAGAACAAATTGATGAAGACTAAAAGGGACAACTTAGAAAACATGGAGAAAACTGGAAAATTTGCAGCCATGGTTGGGAAAACTTGAGACTGATTGATAGCTAGTGGTATCTGATACCTCGGGTATAAATTACGTGAAAAATGTCGTCTTATATATAGTCAGTAATGTATTAGCAAAAGCCAGCATTACATATAAATGCATACATTTAATTATTCCTACAAACTACTCCTAAAACATCTATCAACATGACTCTTAATTTTTTACGTCCTTACTCAAGTGGGACTGTATCCAAAGATTTTATGTCTTTAATGCATTCAATAATAAATTACTACTTACCATAATTAATAAAATACATAACGGGTATCATATGGAGCATTATATTTACCCATATTATGCAAACTTTTTTTTTAAATGCACGATTGAAATTCAGCGCAAAAGTATGAGTTCAGTAAAATTATATATATAAATTTTTACGTGAATAGAATGAATATATTTGAAGGTTGCAAAACTCAAATACGGCAACAGTTGTTATAATTTTCAAAATTATGCCACATTAATACCAATTTTAACTCTTATCCTTGTATATGAGACATCAAATTAATTAGAATTTAATAACCATATTAGTTTTATATGCTTAATTATATGGAAACTAATATATATATATATATATCTTTGTTTTTTAGTGTATAACTCAAAGGATATGTCATTTTCTTATATAGAAAATTTAAAAGTTTTTCAAAAATTGAAGTATAATAGGTCAAAAATTTATTAGGTGGTTTATACGGTTTCTTTAAAAGTACGAGTATTTTTCATAGTGTTTTTAAACTGTATGGAACACAATTTTTTTTTTGAATTATACATAGGAACATGTATTACATGTGTACAATACGAGTTTTTTTTTTTCATTTTACTAACTAGGCTACTAACCATTATTTTTATTCTTTCCTTGTCTCTTCTACTTTTGAATGATTCAAAGATGTTCCCATAGATTTCAACGAGTGCCCACTGAGTGTTTGTTAAAATCTACTTCAGATGTCAAACTTTTGAAAAAAACAAAGTTAATTAAGAAAATTATTAAATATAAAGGAGTGTAATAATTATTAATGTGTGCATATAGACATATGATAGATTGGGTGTAGTTTAAGTACATTAACAAGTATCAATTGATCATCTGTTAGAAAAATTTATCAAATAAAAAAAATAAGTTGAATGTGAATTAGGCATTTGAGCACCAATAAAAAAGACTCATCACATCAAAAAGATTTCCCTACTGAATGTTACTCACTATTTATAGCATAAATGATTTTAGCATACCACAATTAAGAGGAAATGCATCACTATTTATTATGTTAAATTAAGATGAAAATGTTTTGAATCTTCAACCTAGGTATTTATGTATATTTTTAAATTATAAATTGGTAGTTTGTATCTAACATACTCAACATTGATAGCACAAAGGCATTTTGAATTGGATTTTTGAATTCTGTC